AGTAAATGTTTCGATGTTTCGCTCATAAATGTAATACATTTACAAAACACTCCAAAAACCATATCAAAATGTGGAAAACCTTCCAGTGCACTGTATGTTGTCATGTATGAAAAGATCTAAACTGAACACTGTAAGAAAACTGCTTGATTAATATATAATGATAATAATAATTATGAATAGCAGTAAACTTTAATTGTATAGCACATTTCATACAACAAATGCTGCTTAAAATGCTTTACACACAATGAAAAACATATATGAATTACAGGAGTAATTGAGTATTTGTGTAACAACGTCCCAAGCTTCTCGAGCCATAAAAGAGGTTGATGAATATAATGATGATCCATATAAGCGGTTTCCACTGTATCTATTAACACTTTTTTATCTATGTATAACTTCTCATACATTTCCAACAGATTATTATTTGTCTGCTAATAACAAAAACTAAACAAGTTCAGGTTCCATCTATGTGAATGAAAAGCTACTGGGCAGACACTTCTGTTCGCTCTCTCAGTCTTGCTGCACCTAGCTGCTTTTCTCTCAAGTGCATTGATTCTTGGCCTCAATGATATATGGCACAGTTTAGATGAAACACGACAAAGACCGCAAAACTAAAAGATCAAGTGGGCCTCCTGCAGGCTGCATTAATAAGTATTTGAAGGAGTCATTTAGCCTTATTAAGGCACAGGCCAGCTACTGAGATTCACCGCTGCCACCTTCCAGCTACTTTCCTCCACTGCGGTGATTACGGTCGACAGACTTAAAGCCAACATGTCCTTTAGAGTCCAGGGATTTTCTGCACTATATATTCAGCACAATATAACATTTTCATTTAGATTCTGTGTTTTAAGTTTCAATGCAAATAGTAAATTAATTCAAGATACAGTATGTAAAGTCAGAATCTATAATTCTTGCCTGCTGATATGTATTATGTAGTTTTGTTATATGTAAGTATGGTTAAAAAGAGTGTGTTTGTTTTCTCTTCTCAACGTGATAATATTCATCTGGCTGCGCTGAAGCGAAGATGCCAGTGCCTGTGCACCTTTGTGTTCAAGAAAAAAATGTATTCATCGTCATCACTGTTGACAATATATATAACGATGCGAAGCATATTTTATTTAATTTTTTTTTACAAGCTCCCCCATTGAAAACAATGCTCTTAAAGTTTGGCTAGTACTTCTGAATAATCGTGATGTGGTTATTATGGATGCCTAGCAGTTAGTCTTGCACAGCCCCATAAAGCCATAGTGGATATTTTGCAAAACAAATGTATTCCTCTGCGTGGGGCCTCTAAATCGCAGTTTCATGTCAGTCAAACAGACATTTTTTAATCTTTAATTTTCATCCTTCCAATGGATAAAATGTCAAAAACATTCATTTTTCTGTGCATTTACATAATGCATTTTGGTGTCATCAACATTGCCAACCATATACCAGTTTCTTTACAATTAGTTAACACATTTTTACAGAGGGGAAAATATCTGTTCAAAAGATATCAGCAGTAGTGTAGACAAGGTCTTAAACATTGTCAGTGGTCTTAATGTAGAGGACTGATGCAGGACTGAAGCTTTACTGTTGAGCGAAGTCAATCAAACTTTGTATTGAATGTTGAATTTGAAATGTTTGTGTACTGCTGATGCTGTGACTTCCTCTCAGTAAAGCAGGATTCATTGAGTTTATTATTGAAGACACACTGCTTTGTAGTAGAACACAAACACTCACAGAGAATCTGGGAAAAATCATTGGGAGTTCAGCGAGGGTCTCAGGTGCTTCAGAGGTGGATTGATTGGAACAGCTCACAGTTTTCTTTAGACTCAATGGACCTTATTGATCTGCTGTTATCCTCCCAGCAGGCCCGGCTTGTGTTGTTCATTACCGTGGCTGTGTTAATTAGCTAGTTTATCGCTCCACAGAGGAAGGCCACTGCACTGACAGTAAGCAAACCTGCACAATGGCTTGTGGGGCTAAACGTCAAGCTGACTTGCGTGAGGTTACACAATGGAAGTGACTGCCCATGCTGCGATCCGGAGCTCTCTATCTGTGAGAAACAAGATGGTGGGTAGGAATTGTTGCTGAGGATGAACATTGGTGATGGAAATAAAGGAACATGCAAGATATAGAAGAACTCTTTATGAAAATACACAGTGGCAATTGTCGTTTTATAACTGCAGCCTATGGACAGCAAGCATATTCAGTGTTCCCTTGTTTTTTTTTTCAAGAACACATCTTGGAAAATGTTATCTCAATTGCTCTCGCTGATGGAAGCCCCCCACTTCTCCTCTCCCCTCCCCCTCCCACACATACAGGTATTTAAAGCTCCTGCTGCCATGTTTCGGCATGTGTGATGTAACTGGTGGGATTTCAAATGTAATTCTGGTGTCGAGGAGGGACCGCTCTCATAAATGTTTGATGAACCACGAGGCTCTCTGCTCGGACCGCTCCAGACGTTTCCCGGGCTGCCCGCGGTGGAAAGGGCTTTTTAAAGAGTCACCTGTCTCTATCAAGGCCTGGTGGAAGCCCTCAAGTGCACATGAATCAGGGGGCGGTTACCATATCCATATGAGTGTGTGCACTTCTGCCTGCAAACAAACATACAGTTGCGTCTCTGAGTTTTTTCCTCCTCTTGTCTTCACCACATCTATGTTCCCTGCCTCCTCTCACAATCCTCTGGGAGCCATCAGGGAACAGTATTTCTTTTTATTGGACATTTATCACATTTGGCAGGTGAAGTCGCCCACTTCTCACTCCTACACAATCTTTCAGACTTCCTGCCAGTCATCAAACACAGCCCTGATATGACTACGCCAGATTCCATCGCTTATTATCATTTATTTAGGGTTGCAGAGGCGGGGTAGGGTTGGAGGGTGTGCCCCGACAGCGAGGCAGCAGAGCATGGTGTTTCACCATCTGGGCCACACTGGGATCAGGACAACGCTAGTGCCTGATCTAGATACATCACTAGCCATCAACAGATTCTAGACACTCGCTTCTTGTCAAACAGGACAGGATGGGTGACAGAGTGCTCGCCCTGCAGCCCAGTGCACAATATGGACAAAGTCATGCTGCTGTGGTTGTTACAGCTTAAAGTAAAACTTAACACAAAGTCTCTTGTGAGAATCACAGCCGGTAGGGTTTAAAAGTGGCTGTGAAATGTTTATGTTTCTTATTTCATGGAGCGTAATGGCTGAGGTTTACTTAAATACAGGTCAGTTACAATGGACTCTAAAAAAATTCACAGTGGGAAAACAAATCTAACTGTCAAGTGTGGAATTTGTGTAAGACTATATCCATACACTTTAGTTTTAAAATGACCTCCTAATAGCGTTTAAGCTTCATATCAGTAATTACAGTGCATAGGAATACATCTGAAATCATGTGAATAATACAAGTCCATTGACGTACACTGGGTATGTAGGTGGCAGTGTAAACAGGAAGTGGACTGTCTAATCTGCAGTTGTTTTTTTATTTACAGAAATACTACAAACAAGAAACAACAACAATGAAAAGTAACGTAATGATGATGATGTTACTGAGTCATGACTTATGAATAATATAATAATTATATAATATATAAGAGCATGACTTTAAATATAAAAATATTTATAATAATAATATGAACCAATAAGGAAGACAATGTAGACGACTGTGTCATTGTGTCCAAACAGCTCTGTTTCTGGAATGATTCTGAGACCATGAAACACAACAAATATGCACTATCTATTTTTTTTGTGATGCAGGATGACAGAACAGCAATACCGCGGCCTCCACAGTTAATACTGTAACACATTAATAGCATATAATTATTCTGTTATCCAGCTAGAACAAGCTGTATGTTTTGAAAAACACAACAGTCCTATTTTATTGTCATTCAACTGCATGTGCCATGAGACTATTTTAGGCCAATTATGACCACGTGATGATATCTGCAGTAAAAGTCAGGTTAGTTTAACTTAAAATATGAGGTGTGAGCCAGTCAGCTTATCGTTAGATAGTCCACAGGCTGATTTTAAGTCTGGATATTCTCTACAGGACATTTCAGAATAAGGACGAAAATTCAAAATTCATATTGTGGATATGATTTTTTTTTTTTAAATGCCCCATGCTGTGATACAAAACAGTTGAAAGTTTATGTTTGTATTACCTTTAGATGTGGCGTAAATAACTGTCAGGAGCCCTACATGAGCAGTTTTTAGGATAATGTGTCCAGCTCTTCTTAAAGACCAAGCCTCTCATATGGTCTCTCTGGGTTCTGTGAAAGCTTTGTGGAGTTTTAATGTCGGATTTGGCAGGAGTACAAGCTGAGTGGGTGAAGGTTCACTTCTGGTCCTTTGGGTGTTGTCAGACTCGTCCCTGTCCTTCTGGCTACCTCCTCCTGAGACATGGACACTGTAAACAATTGACACAGAATGAAAACCACAAAGGCCCACCACCGGTGACGCAACTGGACGGGTCTCCCTTTTCTGAGCCTGAGTCGCTCCTCACTTTCTTTCTCCTCAGGTCTCAGGCAGCTGTAACTTGTCATCTTTGTGTGCATATTTAATTCCTTCAGAGCTGTTTAACCGCGGAGCGCCTCGGTGGCGCTGAGCATCTGCTCTGCAGTGGGGCACTTCTGTGCATTTATCCCTCCCCATGCAAAGAGGGAGGACCAGAGTGTCATGTAAATTTGATGGCAGCTTCCACTGTTGCTGTTGGCACCCAGGGAGTGCAAAAACGTGGAAAAATAGGTCCTCCCGCCTGCTGTTTCCCCCCCTACATTTGAAATATAAATGGGCCCCTGTTTAAAGCTCAATGTTTTTGTCTGTTTAATATTGCTGCCCCGATGACTTGAAGACAGGTTCTCTTAATCGATTTAGAAGAGGAGGATGGGTAAACAAGTTGTCAGTAAGGGAGCTAATTAGCCTCACTTTTTGATGTAATAACCTTCTTTGTTGAAGTGGGAGAACTGTGGAAAACTTTGACATTTTTATGTTAATGTGTCCCTTTGTTTTCGTTTCTTGCAGAAATCTCCTGGACAGAGACACATTCTCCAAGTCTGATCCAAGTAAGTTCACATCCCATCTAACACACACACACACACACACACACACACACACCCACACACATCTATCTTAGTGAGGACACTCATTAGCATATATAACCCCTAACCTTAACCATCAAATCTAAATGCCCTAACCCTAAAAGCAAGTCTTAACCCTGAAACAGACGAAATGTCCTCTCTCTGTAGGTTGTGGGCTTAAAATAGTCCTCGCAAAAAGATATCTGTACAAGTCCACACACACACACACACACACAAAATGTAATCATATACGAAATGTGAACACGTACACCCTCTCCTAGCCAAGCCAAACACACATGCATATGTTCTTCTGGTCCTTACAGTCTGCAGACAAACATTCCCTGCATGCAGGCATTTTTTAGTTGTAGAAACACACGGACACACACACCGGCATGTGCGATCTTCCTTGTTAGCGTGAATCAGTAGAAATTTGCATATGTCAGGGGTCGTATTCGTCACTGTTCTCAGCTCCCAACGTGAGTGAGGGGAGCCAGATCGTCCTCATACACAAACCACCACTTCCCTCCTACATATTAAAGGACACACACACACACACACACACACACACACACACACACACACACACACATTCACACATACACACTTACTCACTCACTCCCTTGACAACAGGGGTTCAATTTGGTAACTGGTCCCGTGGTTTTTAAAGGCCCAGTCTGCAATCTAACAGTAATTTGCCTGGATGGAGAAGTGTTGGGACAGAAGATGTTTTCTCATTTATGGGGATTGGGATGCCATATGAACACCAGTCCAAGGTATCAAACCTTGAAAACGGTCATGCACCTAAAAAGCGGTGTGGTCTGAACATATTTATAATCTATAACCTTTTTTTTTTTTTTGTATGCCAGGATCAGAATACATAATATCAGCAAGATAATAAACTGACAATATACTGAAAATAAAAATAGTTGTGTACATGAAGAAGTGAACCTGTACCCTGTAATTAAATCTAACTAAGGCCCATGGGTCAGGAGTATTGTACTGAATCAGTCCCATCAGTCATACCTTCAACCCGTGAGTGACAGACAGCAAGCTATGATTGGTTTGATTGCCAAGTCACTGCAAGAATTTAAGACACTGTGACCGTCATCACATGTGACACAGTGACCATCTCCAAAACCAACATCATCTAATCTGATCCTTGGATTATTATTCTTTCATCTGTCGTTTTTGATTTTCTTTTGACAGCATTTAGAATTGGAGTTTTTTTCTTTTTTGGAAAATGAAAAAAAAACATTTCCCCTTCAGCCGTATAGTTGCAAATGTAAAATAAAACCCAGCCTGATTAAATCCGGAGAAGAGATCCTCTTTTACTCACATGCTTGAAGTCCTTCCTGCTTTGTTTTCTGTAACAGTCTGTGACATTTGTCTAAAAATACTAAAAACACTCTGGGTTATGCTGAAATTATTTCCAGTTGAAATATAATTATGCTTGTTTTTTATTTGTATCTCTATTTATCCAGAGTTGGGCCAGCATGCCATTGTTTTCAGCACCATCTTGCTTTATTCACTCAATATAGAGCGCTTCGCCACCTGGCTGCTGTAGAGCGAACACTCTGGGTTTTTGTAAGGGTCGGTGATTGTGTGTGAACCCATAATTGACTAGTTTCACGAATTGCGGATGGACCTTTGAGTGTCAGACGGTGAGAGGGGAGGATGAGCATCCCTGCCCGCCCCAACATTTATGCAAGGAGGCACTTGTGTTGCGTCTATGTCTCTGCTCTGCTGACAGCACTGGCCCCAGTCACACAGCATTAGATCGCCTCAGCAGAGCCACACACACGCAAAAAGTGCACACATCCAGGGCCTCGGGCAGGCTCACGTACCATATTCATATAAGCTTCTAAAGCTGGACAATCCAGTGTTTCTGCTTTCTGTATGTTTGTGTGTTTGTTTGTGGGCTTATACGTGTGTGCATATCCATTGTTCCTGTGAGGCATGAACGAGGATGTGCTTTGATCAGTGTGCTTCAGCAGATTAAAGAGGAGCATTGCGCAGACAGTTATCATCATGAAAGTATTTACTGTCACTCTCTCCTACATTCACAACAGAAATGGTTGTAGCTCCTGCCCTCATTATCAGCCTGATGACTAGGAAGAGATGAAAGTGCGCTGGTTCTGATGCAAGGATGCATGGCTATTTATGGAGGATGATTGAAATATCACTTTCGCCCCCGCACAATAATGCAGAGACCATGTGTCATCCGATGCTTCATGGCAAGATTCAGGGATGACTGTATATTCAACCAGCTGAGCCCCCCCGCCCGCTGCACATCATCCACAACACAGCATATATAACATCCAGACTGACAAAACATGGCAAGTTTGAAGACTTCTGCCGCCATGCAAGACGTGGGGTATTTCGCTTCTTGTGTTCGCCTTTTAAACACGGCTGTGAGTCCGAAAAATTAGAACATCAGTTTTCTACAAAATATTCATAAGAATATTGTGTATCTGGTCTCTACATGAGCCTTATTCTCATGGATGAAATGTCACTTTTGGGGGAGAAACAACAGGAATTCATCAGATAGAACCGGCTGATGATTTTCACTCACAATCACGACCGTTAATGAGTCCATTGCGTTAAAAAAGTCATGTCATCAGTTGGTGGTAGCTCATACATAAATTTGCAATTATTTAAAGCTGTAATTAATGATCACGCTTGTCACTGCAGTGGAAAGTGCTGCCTTCATAATCAGATGTCAAAGGATCAGCTCAGGTTCTGTTTTTATAAGTAGCTTTAAAGAGAGTATGCTTTGTGTGTTTTATTACCCCTGTGTTTTTTTTCTATGGGTGTAAGAGAGCATGTAATCTTTCAAAAAAACTGCTTTCACTGCAGGGTTGAGCTTCAGCACTCCCATTTTTTTTGCTTGACACCAGTCATGTGGACAATTGAATTAAATTAACATCAAAGATTGAGCAGGAAATCATTCACCACACTCGCTGCAACAGGAAACAGTGAAAAAGCAATGACCAACTAACCAAGCATGATGTACCATTGTGCATTATGCATCACCTCTTGTGTCTAGTGTTTTTCTTCACAACTCACACACAGAACTCTCTATGAAGTGAAGAACCAATGAACATGGGACGTGTAAATTGCTGTGTGACAGACATGTTTGAAGACGGTCAGATCTGCTAGCATTCACATTTCACACTAGTGCAAAATGTCGACATTTAAACACGCCATAGAAATTATTTTCCACATCACGGATCCCTGCTACACCTGCGCTGTCCATTTAGTTAACGTTCTACTAACAAACAGACACACACTGACCCAGCTATGACCCCATAAAGAAACACATGCACACACACACACACACACAGTTTGAGACCGGCTCAGTCTGACTTTTGTTGTGCAACTTCTATTGGTAACTTTTTTTATAGACAGTAAGAAAAGGAAAGCGAAGATAAGTTAAGTTTCCAAGATTACAGTACAGGAGAATACAATAGACAGTGTATTTATTATAAGTGAAACCAAAAATATTAAAAGTGCGCATGGAGTAAATTCAGGAGCAGTGCAATAGAACTGAAAATAAAATCAGTGAGACAGTGAACTTATACTGAATAGAAAGTAGTAATGATAATGATTATAGGAGTAAGTTACATCGAAGTAATGACATTAAACTTGTTACAGCATTTTCTATTTTCAGACTTTATCCATCGATTAATAGAGAAAATAAAAAGCACATTAATTCATGTTAAAATAAGCATTAGTTGCAGTTGGATACAAAATATAAAAGAGCTCAACCAAAACCAACAATTAAAGTAAAACTCTACTTTTACATGCATTCATCACTAATAATAATCTATCGATATGTTATATAATAGTATAATAAGATATAACAAACAATAAGACAATGAATACTGAAGGTAGTGTGTGATAAGAGTTTATGTTATTACGTGACACTGGGCCAATGACTGTGTGTGACCACTGAGCTGCCAGCTCCACCAGCATGTCCTGTGGGTCCCCATGGGTGGTCTACCAGCAGGGCAGACCATCTTAGTGGTTACAGTACTTATAGCACTCACTCAACACGAGCTAACAGGCCCACTCTTCTTTCCTTTTTTAGCGCTTTTGTGCAACCAGATAGACAAAAACAAGGGCAGACAGAGGTTGTAGTTGTAGTCCTGGAAAAGAGGTTCCCCTGCCTTTCTTCCCCTGTGCTTTGAAGATTGTTTTTAAAGGATGCTGCTCTGGGTACAGTAGTAAACAGCAACCGTGTTAATTTGAGGTGCGTTTAAAAGGTTTCTCATTCTCGACATTTGTTTATTTTTAAAGAGAAAAAGAGATAATTATTGCATTTAATAAATACTAACAGTAGCTACATTACAGTATTCATGTCAGGTTTAACAAAGTGGATCGGAATGCAGCGGTTAAATCCAATATTAATTTTGTGCCGTGCTCATGTTGTGTTAGTAACACGTTTCAAACTAGTGATTAAACCATTAAGCTATTACAGAGTCAAAATGACAGTTTTAGGGGCCATTCTTGTAGATGTAGGTATTATTTTATTGTACATGGTGAAAAATGTTTTTTTTATACACACCAGTCACACAAGGGGAGCTCCAGCTCCTGGTATCTCCTCCATGCTCTTGAGATTGTGCTGGACTGCCTGTGCAACCTGATTGGGCTGCAGGTACCGCCTCATGCTACCAGTAGTGACAAGGACACTAGCACAACCCAAACTAGAGAAGAGTCAGTCAGGAAGCATAAGGAGAGAGCAGCTGTCTGTGGCAGCCACATGTAAAACCATTCCCTTTTTAGGGGCTGTCTTGATTTTGCTTCTCCATTGCACCTGTTGTCACCTTTATTTGCACCAAAGCAAGTGAAACTGATTCATTATCACGTGTGCTTCCTAAATGGACAGATTGATCCCTGAAGTTTAACTGACTTGGTGTTATCCTGTGATGATGAAGTGTTCCCTTCATTTGAGCAGCATATATAGTCATTTCTAGTATTAAAAAACATGTTCTACAACTCCTTTTACTCTTCTATAAATGTATTGACTGCTATATATCATCATAAAAGGCTAACAATTGGTAATATGTAATTATCAACTTGCTTGAGAAGTGCTAGCTTCTTTTCATTTAAATGCTTGTATGGTTGTTGTATTTATATTTGCATTGTGGAGTAATATGTATGTTTCAGAGTTAATGCTAATTAGAGGGAAATAAGCAAACCTAACCAACACCGTTTGGTAATGTAGTCAATACTGTCAGCATTTGAGGCCTATTGTGTATTGAAATTCAGTCAATATTATCAAACAGCATTGGGATTCATTGAGGTGTATTTGATATATTAACCATATTTCAGTCCTCTTTTACTTTTCAATCATAGCAAGTTATTCCTTGGCTTTAGTTTTTATATACATATCGGTAACTACTGCTTGTCTATTTAGTACATATCTGTATTTCTGTGGGGCGATTTCAATTTGGTTTTATTTTTTAATGTTTTTTATTTCCAAAGACCGTGTGTCCCCTTTTAACTTAATAATATGTTAATATAAATACTTGAGTAATGTTTGAACCTAAAATATATACCGTACATATATAGTATATATCCTGCATTACCTTTTATTTAATGAGGTTATGTCATTGAGATCAAGATCTCTATAATAGAGACCCGAGTTAGCAGAAAGAACAGACACAAGAAGTACAACAAAACATTCTTTAATAGTGACAAAATATTATCTGATATCTCACACAGTTGTAGTCTACAGTTCAAGTATAATTCATAGTCCATGTCCAAGATTAGCATTTCCACCACTCCACCACTCATAATGTGAACGTCTTACCTTAAAAAGATTTACAAGTGTGTAGTCCCAGGGGTTTTCAGAGTGGCTGCCATGTGAAAGGCGTGTGTGAATACAGTAGCGGCTGCTAGAATGCAAATGAAATGTCATTTTAGTGCCAGCTGATTGCCCTGCTCTGTTGCTGCTAGTGGTCCGTCATCTAAAAACACGACAACGCTCCCTCGGATGGAGATGCTCGGATGTCAATAAGGAGGACATTTCTCCCTCCCTGTCCTTCCTCCCCCCTCTGACATATCATCATGCTGCAAGGCAAATTTCTAGTGACATTTAATTAGAGAGTTTTTCTCTCATGTTGGGGTCAGGGGAAGGAACACGCTCTCTGCCTGTCTGGATTCTTTGTTACTGTTAAATACTCTTCAATCAGTCTAACCCTCTTCTGTCTCTCCCCCGCCCCTCTCTCTAATTCAACAGTTTGTGTGCTGTACACTCAAGGAATAGCCAACAGGGAATGGAGAGAGGTGAGTACACCAGTGGGCTATGTTCAGTATCTGTTAAATAATAGTGAGGCCATGATGGTTTTTTTATCCTTGGGAATACCAGATTTAACCACCTGCATCAATGTTTTGTTTTTGAAGTCATCTCATCTCACACAGTTAACTCTTGTTGTATTTCACATTACTCAATCATTCATAACCCTTTTTAAAAATGTGTTATATTTACAAGTTAAGTACCCAATATAGAAGATCCAACCTGTGAGGTTGAGTTGTCTAAATCATATTCATTGTATAAGATAAAATAGGATGCGATATCGATTAGCAGCAGGCAAGTCACAATGAGGTAGACAAGAAAAAAAATGCAATAGAATACAAATAAATATTTAATAAACTGTAGTGGTTTATATGAAATGTTGTAAGTAAAGTGCAGTGTCACAGAATAATTGTACGAGCAAGTAAAAAACTGTTGGCACATAGGAAAAAAATGTTTTTACATCAGAAGAATACGTTTTTACATAAACACAAGTGTGCAAAAAGTACATTTCTTTTAAAAATAGTACACAAAAGTATGAGTAGACTGACATGACCACACCAGTGCAGTATTTTATTTTTCATTTTGCATGGTGTTGCATATTTACTGTGTTACTGTTGTGCCTCTGTTTGGATTTATTTGGGTTCATTTCCTCAAAAAACAGGTCTAATTACCTTTGGGCCTTCATCCTCAAACCTGTTTCACAAACTCAATTTGAAGCACTTTGATTTAACATGCTCCCACAGATTTAAGAGAGATTTAATAAACACTTGTTTTATTTGCGAAGTCCAAGAGAGGTACAACACCTCCCACAATCCTCAGGTGTTATAGCGACATCACCACAATCCATTTTAGAAATTCTAACATGCCAACAATTATCATGCAACTATTAGATACTAAACATGACACTGGACATTAAGTTTTGGTATTGAGATATAAATATCATGCTTATATTAACAATGCATTTAAGCAGTTTCATTAAATTAATGCTTATACGAAGATGCTGTGACTGCAAACTGGAGTCTATTATTTTATTGTACAAGGTTTCTACATAGTCACTCAGTCTTCAGTTAGTTTAATGAGTATCGACGACATCCATTAACCCAGTATTCCCTTCCTCACCTCTTCTCTAGTTTGGCAGGACAGAAGTCATAGACAACACCCTCAACCCTGACTTTGTTCGCAAATTCATCCTGGACTACTTCTTCGAAGAGCGGCAGAATCTACGCTTTGACCTGTGAGTTAACATTTGACTTCTGCGCGTTGGTGTGTGTGTGTGTTTGTTTTTGTGTATCTGCGTGTGTTGTGCAGGCGTGGGTGAGAGTGCTGCCCTGTGTGCAGCGAAGTTAAGACTGAAATATTCATGACATGTGCTGAGGGAGATGTAAGTCTTCTCCCCTTTAAATAAAAGACAAGTTTTCGTGCCACTTTTTCACCAGCGTTTCCATTTGATTTCATCCCATTTATACAATACGTTGAGACAAAACAGGGCCAGATGCCCGCATGAATCACTCACTTGGCATTTTGTGATGATCACGATCCATTTTCGGATTTGCCCATTTTACCTCAGCATCAATTTAAAAGAGAAGTGTTCTTACAGTGTTATGTGAATTGAGTAATTAAGCCAACGATTTAATTCATTTTTTATCAAATTTTCTTCAAAATTCCTAATAAATGTGTAATATTGATGCAATGTTATGCAGAAAAAGCAACAAATTACCTTTCAACCACCGATGCAGTCTTTGTTCTCTGTTATAATCTTTTTCAATGTTATTTTGATTCAGTTGATCTTACAATTTAGATTTACTGCCCTAAGTAAGACTAGTGTCTCTGCGTAGAGTTTGCTGAGACCTTACTGCTCACTCAAAGAAAGCTAGCACCATTGAAAGACATGACTCTTCAGCCGTCATACGTCCCTTAGAGCTCATTGTGAGGCTCATCACATCCTCTATGAATTTTATTTTGTAACTTAATTTGTAAACATCAGAGACACAGGATTATTCATCCAATTTTCCAGCGGTGCAAGACACACGGAGGTCAGAAGCTTAGGTCAATATTCTCATCGAACATCATATTAGGGAAAAGACGTGATCTCTCTGACTTGGGCTAAAAAAGTGCTGCTAATAGATGCAACTGTATGAATGTGTGTGAATGGGTGAAATGCAGACTGTACTGTAAAGCACTTTGAGTGGTCTTTAAGACTAGAGAAACGTAATATAAATACAAACCATTAAACCATTAACTAAACTGCTGACCACCTGAGATTTTTTGCACACGTCAGTCTCTAGATTGTTTTACTCAGATCGGAGATCTCAGGCCTGTATGGGCTACATACGGCACAGAGGCTGGAGGCACCCGTGCTTTTCTTTAAAGCCAATGTAAATTGCATAATAATAATTTATTGCTATGTTTTATTTGACATCTCTGAAGCTGTCACTGAAGTCATGTTTAACTCATTAGTAGGAAAGTGAGTGAACTGGCATGTAAAGGGACTGTCATACGGTATAATTACCAATGTGTCTGTTAACCTCTGGTGTATCATGGGAAAGTGTTTATTGAAGCGAGTCGTATTTCCTTGTGTAACCCTAAACGTCAACATGTCTAAGGGATTATGAAAATCTGGATTTTTTCTCTATTTTGTTCCAGCCTCGCGCATGTTCTTCGTACATTTTCTGATGATAGCTCATGAAATATGGAATAACTCTTTAGTTTGTTTACTTGTTGGCCTGTCAGCAGGGCCTCATGCTGCTAACAGACTGTGGGAGGTTGCAGTGAAGGTCAAGAAGAGATGCTAGCTGGTTGATTGTGTGTGTGTTTCTGTGTTTCTGTGTGTGCACACTACAGTTCATATATTTATTATGTTAAGACTGAATTATAAAGTGCTTGTATCCATTGAGGTGTGTTCAGGTTGTTAGAAGTAAAGTAGTGTGTGTGTGTGGGTTTATGATGTTCCTGTGTGCATATTAATCTGAACATATATGCATTTGGACATTTTATTTCTGTCTATGTGAGTATGCCTGTTGAGTTGTGTGTGTGCCTGGCAAGACAAATATGAATAAGTGGCGCGTTTGTGTGTGTGTGTGGGTTTCTACTGTGTGTGTGTGTAATCCCATCTGCTAGACAAATATGGTGCTGACTTTGCTCAAGTATCATGCAAGGTCTTAAAAGTTGACAAGAAGCAGAGAGGTGATATAGGATGATGATGTGTGCGTGTACGCGTGGGTATGTGTGAGTGTATGTGTGCGTGCATGCAGCCAGTCTGACCCCCTGCATGGCTTATGGGTGAGCATCAGGCCCCATTAGTGTTTTCTGGGCTGATGACCCTGCGATCACTTGCAGCGAGGACATGGCTGCCACACGCACTCAAACACACACACAAGCGCGCTCGCTCTGCCTCACACATGCCTGCCCTCGGACCTCCAAAAACACACACATATTTTCTCACACACACATATGCACTTTGCTTGTCAGGCATTCTTTTCCGATGCTGTTGAGCTGTAACATGCATGTGTTTACGCACACACTTCTTAAATTTCCCATCCCAAAACCAGTGTTTACTCCTGCTCTCCTTAGAGAGAAGATTCAATCGATTTTATTTGATTATGAAAATAGTAGGACACTCATTTAGTAGTGTCTAATAATATAATGCATGGCACTCACTGTGGCAGCATCTCCTGAGGTGGGGGGAGTACACCAGCCAATGCCGTGCCTTGTGTAGCTCACGTGACGACGCTGTCTCCTCTCTGGTGTAAATCTTTGAAAAATGTCGGAGACAAACATCGCTAACGATACCGCGGAGAAGTTGTCAAAAGCATGGGAACACTTAACATTAAAGCCTTTAGATAAGACTGCTAGCTGCTAAACGTACGAAGCTGATTTCACGTGGAACAGCAGCACAACATCACCGCGGTATATGAAAACATGAGAAAAACCTGGTGGAGCAATTCTACTTATTCCTCTCTCAGTTTAATGGAGAATTCTAAACAACTTTAGGTTCAAACTGCAGGGAGGTTTTAAACACGTGTCATGTGAAATCAGCTTAACACAAGTTTTCTCTGGGGTTTAACGTAAAATGTTCACCCACTGTTAACGACTGTTGCTTCTATGACTCAACGAGGAGAGAGAGAGAGCAGCGTTGGTCGATAGACCTATATGCTGAATGAACATAAGCACAAAGCAGTGAAACAAAAACACAAAACACAACATCTTTCTCATTTTTCCACAGTGGTTATGTTCTAAAGTACATAAACAATCTGCTGGAAGAGTTTTATGTTAATACAGACAGGAATTCAGCCCAGTGCAGCTTGTTTGCTGTGAGTGACAGTCACACAGACAGCTCTCTGACACATTCAGCAGGACAAGCTGGTTTAACTTTTCTTAACCAACCACCAATCCACAATTA